ATTTGCGTTTTGAAGGGTTAGGGAAAAAAAGAGGAGAAATAAAGAGTTCTAAGGAAGAGTACTCAGGAACGATCTTAGATCACACTAAGATTATTCGTCTTCTGGTCATCCAGGTAAGAGGGGAGTGAGAAACCTTACTCTTGGTGTAGGAATGTATGTTGGGTAGTGGGATTGACCTTCAATCCTGTGTTTGTTGTATGCTCATGTATGAGGAGTTTTCCCCAATTGTATCTGTTTCATCTATTGTTCCTCTTGTATGTAATTAATTTGTATAAATTGCTTGAATGAATGATTAATTTCACTTTTAAAATTGTAATTGTATGATTTGAGATTTCTGTGGGTCCCTACGGGAAACCCTATGAGAAAACGGGCAAAATATGAATATTTTTTATTTTGCCTTCTGATTGCTTTGTTGTGTTCCTTGTTGGATGTGATGCATGAGTATGTGGTTAATTTTAAAAATGAATATGTTTTTATATGAATTAGAGTGCTATGTGGGTTCCTACGGGAAACCCTATGAGAAAACGGGCAAAATATGAATGTTTTCTGTTTTGCCTTCTGATTGCTTTGTTGTGTTCCTTAATGTTTGCAGAGTGTAAATATGTGTTTAATTTCGCAATTAAAGTGTTTTGTGATAATTGTGAATATAATGTGATAATGTGATAATGTGAGTATGATGATGAAATATGAGGATGAAATGTGATGATGAAATGTGATGATAACAATGTGATATGAGAATGCATAGAGTCTTGATTGGCATGGATCATGTGCATAAATGTTTTTAAGGGTACGATATGGAATACACCGCCAAAGAAGGCCCCCTAGTGTAAAAGTTTTGGGGATTAGTCCTTGGGGATAGCTCAGTTTAGAAGTCTCAGTCTCGCCCATTATGTGCATGGGATGTATCTTGTGTGGCTTAGCTATCTCGACGAGACTCTAGTAGTATGTCCTTCTAGTGAGAGTGCGCAGAGGGTGTGACCCGGCATGTACTCCTAGACTACTCTTCGTGTATTGTTAGCGGCAATATGCCATGTGATGTTTTACTGGCGCCACATGCATGATAAAATGTAGTCTGTGTCCATCCATGTGCATTTTAATGTTATATGATAAATTGATATTTTTATGTCTTGAATGAGTGAGATGTGATATTATTACTAATTTATCTGTGTTATATATGTTTTGTTTGTGTTTGGTTATCCAGTGTATATTCCTACACTATGAGCCAGAGTGAGATGTTTCTCACTCCCTTTTCTTGTGTTATTTTTCTTTGACTGTCTTACAGGTAATTATCAGCATGAGACTGAGGATGTTGGTGATGAAACTTAGGCTTCTATGTTGGGATTTGCTCTGATAGGACATGTGACATCGGGACATAGATAGAATTAGATTAGAATGTTTTTATTAAAATATTTAGGAAAACCTTATATTATTTCTATGTAATTTCTGCTGATTAAGCTACTGTTTAAGTTATGGATGTGATACCCTCTATTTAAACATGTTCGGTATTTCAATTATGAAAAAAAAAATATGTTATTCAATTTTTGTTATTTGTGTTATGGTATGTGGGGTAGAGGGTGTTACAAATTTTGTTTTATAAGAATGAAGTATCAAATCATCTTGGATTAATATAAAATTTTGTATATATGATTTAAGAGTAAAGAATTTTTTAATTTAAAGATTGGATTTACAAAATTCTCATTTAATATAAAGTTATTGAGCGGTGTAATACTTAGTAAAAATTATACCGGTTTTATTATAACTCTCCTCATATATATATATATGGACCTTTTTTAATATATGATTGTCAATTTTCGTAAAATAATTCTTAAATTTTTGACAAATATAAATTTGTCCTACATATTCCATCAGTAATATAAATTTTCTGACGGATAAATTTGTCATAATTTTTTTTAAAAATAACATATATTCTTTAATTCTACATAATTCTTACATATAAAAATTTCATAAATAAAATTTAATATTTTGAGAGGGATCAATAATTCCTCACAAATTTTGTAGCTATTTGTGATGAAATTTGTGACAAAATACAAATGTTGACAAAAATTTCGTCACAAAATCTGTCACTGACTTATTTATTATAGTATTGTGACCCATTTTTGTGAGGAAATATTTATAGAGGAACTTAATCCGTCACAAAATCCGTCACTAATTTTATTTTTTTATTCAATGACGAAATTTTTTACGGATGTTTTAGAGACAAAATTTAATCCGTCACTAATTTCACTAAATGGTAGTTCGTCACAAAAAATAAAATTCCCTCACAAAATTCGTCACTATTAGTGACGATATTTTTTCGGTCACAAAAATTCGTCACAAATATTAATTTTTCTAGTAATGAAATACATCAATGATTAATAATTTTTTTTAATAAAAATTAAACATAAAAATAAATAACAAAATGATGCGACCACCTTGTGACAGTTCTACCTCAAAAGATTTTAATATACATTAATGATAAAAATAAGGTAGTTTATAAATAACAAAGTAGCACTCATAGGCAAAGGATTCACATCATATATTTTGTTACAAAAAATTCAAGTATTTAATAATAAAATAAGTTCTAAAATAAAAGAAAATTAGACATTAAAACAACATTTATAAGTTTTAATGAAAAGTCTTGAATATAAAATAAAAGTTTTGAAAGGTTGATTATCCACATGAAATAAACACAAATAAAGTAAGTATATGGTAACTATGTACTTCTCTAAACCCCGATATCCCACTAAACTAAGAACTCCTATCAAAAGAAACTAATAACGCCCAAGCTTCATCTCTTGCAAGCTCAAATTCATCTATTTGATCAACACTTGAAATTGGCATCCAACATAACAAGAAAACATAACATAACCACATGGGTGTGAGAATATGTTTCACACATGTATTAAGCCCATATAAAGAAGACATGTAGTATCTAAAAACACAACACATCTTACACATCAAACATAAACTTAATCATAACTCATTACACAAGACTCATAGACACGTGCGTTTATTTCTACTTGCATGTGGTATCATTCTCATTTCTCATAAATCGCACACATAAGAAGTATTCCAGGAATATATGGACCAGGATTAACATACAAAATCCCACTAGAATGAAGATTTCTGAGGAGCTAGTCGAGGTACTATAGTTAGCCATGATTGCCCATTATCCCACTAAAATACGATATTTGCTATCATAACACCCCAGGGTCAAGATAGAAGACCATGTAAACCCTCCCACACATACTCACATCTACCTCCAAACAAACTATACATGAATGCGTGGACTCAATCATAACACACAATACACCAAAGAGGCATAACACACATATCACATTACTAGGCAAAGCTTAGACTTTCACTTGGCTAGACCACTATCTAGACTTAACAAATGACCAAACACAAACTTGGATTTCACATTGCTAAGCCACCACTTAAACTTACTTGCATCACACATATAGCTCACAATACGCAAAGTCTCAACATAAGATCCCACATTAAACAACGAACATATAACTTTCATGTATCCATCATCTTTTACTCAATACTCATTCACAATAGTATACTCATGCATTGTCTTTTTAAACTATTGATATTAAGCATCTTAAACTATTATCAAGATTAAACACTTAAAAGCAAAAATAATCCAAAGTTCACATTAGGGAGATTTGTTGAGTGACGAAATTCACTTAGTAAACTTTAAAGTTGAGTTCACTCTCATTGAGTTTCATCTCACTTAGCAAATAAAAATACCCATCTTTTAGTGGCTTATACTCACCGAGTGAAACACCTTCACTTATCGACCATCATATAGGAATAGAAATTCTCTAAACAAACACTTTTCGCTTGGTGAATTAAAAAGACCACATCTTCCATAGCCCAAAATTCGTTGAGACAAAGAAATACACTAGATGGGGAGATGACTTGTTTTTTCCTATTGTTTCTTAACCCAACTCTCTCCTTATATGAGAAACACATTAGATCAACATAATAATTTAAAGGGTAGAATAACATTATCATATCTTATTGATGAATCTAACAACAAATTACAACAATATAAGATATTATCTTATCTTATTCTGACTATCTATCTAGCCTTAAGAATTTGTCTACTTTTAAAATATATTTTTATTTCAATTAAAGAAATAGTGAAGATAACTTATTATTATTTTCATTATTTATTGTACATAACAAAACTCTAAAATATGGAAATAAAATAAAATAAAGTGAGTTTTTATAATTAAATAGAAAAATAAAACACAAAAGCTTAAAACAATATCTTAAAACTTATTGGTTCCTTGACTTCTGAACATACATTTGAAGCGGGAGATTCCACATTCTTAAGGTCATCATAGATGCATTTGACATTTGATTTTTTTTTCTTCTTTATTTGATCCTTTTTTTTTTTATTTTTATTTTTATCATTTGATTCAAAATTGAGCATCTAGACGAGCTATGCCTAAACTTGTGTCTCATGACAACTTTGTTTAAACGCCAAGATTTATCAACCTTTACCCACCCGAGAATGCTTTGCGGCCAATCCAATCACTGAAAACATAGGAATGATACTTCACACATTGCACCATTGTTTTGCCCTGTAATCAAAGAGATGACGATCCAATTAGATTTTACCATCTACATACATATATATATATATATATATATATAT